GACTCGGCAGAAAATCCTACTTGGCGGGCGGGGTGGGGGAGGCACTGCAGAGTGGTGGGGGGCGGCCCGCGGGGCTGGGAGAGGTTCCGGCCCACGCTGTGCCTGGACTGGGACTGGTCCCGCCGGCGCAGGGTAGCAGGAAACTCTCCGCACACTCACCGGACCTGGGCTAGGACTGGGTCTGGGGGCTCCTGACCATGACTTTGTTAATGAAGCCTGGAATGAAACCACCTTACACAGAGCCCAACTTTTATGACACAATAAGCAAAATTCACTTAAGACAACAACTGGAGGGCTGGGGAGATAGCTCAGTGGCACAAGCGCCCGCCTGGAAAGTGCAAAGTCCCAAGTTAGATCTTGAGTACCGCATGCCAGGTGTGGGACTGGGACCAGGCGTGGTGGTACATGCCTGTAATCCCAGCACTACAGGAAGCTGAGATAAGAGGATCCCAGGAGTCCGAACTGTGTAGCAAGACCTTGTATCCAAAAAAAAAGGACAACAACTGGAAATGCATTCCATCTCAAGGAAGCATGACTAAGCAGCCACAAGGCCAAGCTGACGTGTGCAGCTCTCACAGGACTGAGACCTCAGAAAATGAGCAATGTAAATAATACTTGATCTGGGGGTAGTACTTCCAGCACTTAGGGGGCCAAGGCAGGAAGTTCACCAATTCAAGGACAGCCTGGGTGATATACCCATTTCAAGTCCAGCCTGAACTAGGAGGCTACTGAAACGTTATCTCAAAAAACAAGTTACAAAAATGTTAGAACAGTAATTGTGAAACAAGCCATAACAAACTCCTACTTCCTTCTACTAAATCACAAACATTTTTAAAAAGAAATCTTGTGTGTGTACAAAATGGGGATTTGCCCCATTTTTTAAATGTGTTTGCTTTTCAAAATCACTTCTCATAGGGGCCGGGGAGATGGCTCAGTAGAGCCTGGCAAGCGCAAGGGCCTAAGTTCAATCCCCAGTTCTGCCAAAAATAAGGAAATAAATTTAAAAAAATAAATAAAGTAAAACTCCCTTGGGCCAGGGAGATAGCTCAGTAGAATAAGCGCTTGCCTGGCAAGCACAAGGGCCTGAATTCAATCCCTAGTTCTAAAAAAAAAAAAAAAAAAATCACTTCTCAGGCCGACGATATAGCTCAGTGGCACAGCACCTGCCTAGCATGGTGAAGTTGTGAATTCAATTCCCATAAATAAATAAATAAAAAAAGTCACTTCTCCCTGTCACTTGTCACACAAATTCAAATGGCTCAGAAGGCTTGATCACATGCAGCCTGCACGTCCCAGGACTTTACACTATGGCCACATGTGGGGCCCACCCGGGCACCTTTGACTTCTTCATGATAGAAACACAGCTTTGGAAGTGAGAATCCCAGAGTTTCTGCCCCCTTGATTAAAATAGTTTGGGAAAATTAAAAATAGCAATCCAGCCATTGGAATGACCTGCTTAGGTGGTTCCGTGGTAAGCGCAGTGTCCACTACAGACTGGTTTCCGTCCTTGGTGCTTATTAGTGACTTCGGAAGTGACTCAGTGCGCTTGCTTCTTCGGAACTTGTGCAGCAGCTTGTCTGTTCTTGTCCTCCTGGAGCCAGCCGTGTGCTGACCTCAGGAGCTCTCTGTGGCGAGAGTCCCCCTCACCTGTGTCCTCTGTGGGGGTGCTATATTTTGATTTTTAGCCCTATCTTCTTTACCGCTAGATGGGGCTTCCTTAAGCCGCCACACAGGGCCAGGCTGTACGGCCGACAGGTCCCTCTGCGCAGCTGAGGGCAGTTTGCTTTTCACTCATGTCGTTGTTGGTCTTTAATGCTCCTCTGCGCCCCCTTCTGCATTTTTTTTTTCCAGAACCGGGGATTGAACTCAGATCCTTGTGCTTGTCAGGCAAGCACTTATTCCACTGAGCCATCTCCCTGGCCCCTCCTTCTGCATTTTTGTTATCACAGCGAACTTTTTTAAAACCCTTCCTGTTTGTACCGTTTTGTACTGTACCAGGGAATATGTTTATCTGTTTTTCATGTTTTTTAAATCAAAGCTGGTTGGAGCTAGTAGTAGAGGGAAGTTTAACTATAACTCAGTTTGTTTTTATTGAAGCTATACTTAATTTAAAAAAAATTACATCCCTATAAAAAGTAGAATTACATTTTATTAATGTTCTCCCTATAGGGGAAAATTTTATATTCAGGAGACTTTATCCAGTAAGAATGGTCAAAGAGATGCCAGTTACAACAGTTATTTTCCCTTTTTCGCAGTCTTTTTGGTTTTGCTTGTTTACTGTTCTGTGCTTGGTTTTGTATGCATAGATATTCTTCCTGACTGTGGAAACAACAGGCCTAAAGTTCTTCCTCATTTTCTCAGCTTCTTTGGGGCAAACCCACTTCCAGAGAGGATTAATTACCAGCCTTTACTGATATCTTTCTTTTGCTCGTCTTTCTCTACTGAATATAAATAGAGCCATTATTTTAAACTGGAACAAAATTATTTTATATACCCCGACAAAGGAAGGGTTTGATTCCATAAAAATTTTCCTGCTAAGCAATAAAATGGAGAAATAACATGATAGTCTGTGCAGTGTAGTCTAAAGCATTCCAGTCCCAGTGACACACTCACCAAAATCCTTCCCCTTTCCACAAGCTGTTGGTAGCAAAAGAACAAGTGTCTCACACTCTTCTCAAACCTCCTGATTTGCTTAGTACTTGCCCAGGAGACTGGAGACCGATGTCCCCTGACAGTCCTGGTCAGATAACCCTGACCCATTACCGAGGGACAAGTTCCCTGTACCCCTAAAGGTGTAACACGGGCTTTCTAGGAAGCTGGGGCCTCCCACTTACCCCAAGAGCCTCAGATGTCACAGCAGAGAGTGGTGGGCAGGACTGGGCCAGGGAGCAGCCAAGGGAGAACAATTTATAAGAGGCCTTTGGACTTCGGGTCAGATGTTTGTAAATCCCGCCCCTCCCCATGGCTGGCAACATCAGAGGGGTATGCAGGAAAAGTCCACTAGCAGAAAAAGGTATCTTTCTTAGCCTCCTGTGAACACACATAATGTCTAAATATGTTGCAAGGCTTTCTATTCCAATCAGGACAAGTCTTATGTCAGTGCAGTGCAGCCCCTTCTGTTTTTATGCCTTTGCCTTCAGTGTCTAGGTTTCCTCCCTCCACTGCAGCCTGAAGTCAAATCATTTATTAGTTAAGGGCAGAGAGGACTCTCGCTCCATCCCTAGTAGGCACTGTTGAGCCTTACCCTCCTAGGAGTACACAACAAACCCTCCTGCTTCTACTGATCAGGTCTTACAAACACGAGTTACTTTGCTGAAATACTTTTCATCCCTCCAGCCTGGTCAGATGACAGGAGAGCGGTCACGGTCACAAACAACACAAGAGACACAATGTTAGCTCAAAGTTTCCCCAGAGAGGTTGAACCACACAAGTTTATTTCCATTATTTCACATTTACTACTTTTAGCAATAAAATGTACAATCACACCAGCATTTTATTGTTTCTAACACAATTATTCTTTTTTAAATTAAGTTTATTGGTTTTTAAAAAATTATATTACTTCTAAGTCTCACAGTAATGCTATGATATAGATTTTATGATCATCTAATTTTACTGATCAAAAAAAAAAATCAAAGAGGTGAACTTCCCCAGAGCCACCAGATGTGATCACGCCAGGATCTGAACCTGCTGGCTCACCCGCAAAGAAGTGGAAATTTTTAGTTGTTCCTTTAAATCCCCAGTAGGACCCAAAACAGTTTCACAACAAATCCTTATAACACATACCTTGTCAACTGATCAACAAGAACTTTCCAGCAAACACAAATCTCAGGTTTAAAAAATGTTCTGTACGGCTACCTAGCCTAAGAAAAAGAGAAGTATGCAGTACAAAGGCTTCAGTGCAAAAGTAGATAAATACCATATTTAGTGTTTACTCCAAACCAATGAAGAAAGGGTGCTCAGGGAACGTTTTCTTCATAAGAACCCAAGGAAGAAAGGTTTATCTAACGCCATGTGCATCTGCCTTTCCCACACTTGCAGGTGAGCTCCCCTAGGGTGGGGTGATTTGCGCAAGCAGACGCGCAGTGAACATCCACTGAAGTAATTGGGCTTTTTCTGTTGGCCCCTGGCCCTACCACGTAGCCCTAACTAGCACCCATGTTTCCACCAGCAATCACCAAGGCAGCAACTTGCCAAGAAGCCCACCAACTTGCTCTCAGGCTTTCGCAGAAATCTGCAAAGGTGAGGGAGGCACCACTGACCTCAGCGAACTCTAGACTAAGCTCTTTGTAAGAGCTGTAAGGATGAACAGGCCCCTCCTGCTTCCTGCGGTTCACTCCCATGCTAGGCACTCACCCTAACCCCAGAAAGCTGAAGTACTCTACCACAAAACGAGGCTGAGCCCACCCCTTTCCAGCTGCTGGCTCCAAACCCGCTTGCCTCGGAGCTGCTCACCTCCCTGGCCCAGACTCGGTTTTGCAGATCAGATTGTGCGCTGCCTGACAAAGTGTGCTTTCTCCATTCTTAACCTTATGTCCTCCCAGGAAAGTAAAGAAGCTCCAGATTTATCCGCTGCTAGTGGAAAACCACTTCTTCAGTTCTGTTCAGAGTCTAGCTGGTTGAGTCTCTTCACGATCAGACTGTTGATTTTCTTAAGCTCATCTATGTCCCTTCCCTCCGCTGCCAAGCGTCTGGACACATCCTCCATCTTGTTTCCGGTCTGAACTTCAAAATGGAAAAGAGACTGTGTTACACTGGTGTCAACTGGGCTCACCATGCTCAAGGGCCCAAGAGGCACCTTGGCAAGTCCCTTCTCTTAGATCACGTATTCCAGAGGCCATGAGAGAAACTGGTGAAGACTTAATTATTTAACAACCTCTCAGTGACAGCCTAGACCGCCTCTGGCAGCTCCACACAGATTTTGGCAGAAAAAGACATGGCTGTAAGCAGCCAAAGGAAACTGCCAAGGTTTCCGATTGTTTCCCCGAAGTGATTGTCACATCATCTCACCGTCAGTCCCAGTGTCAGAAAAGGGCCTCAGTTCATCATTTGAAAATGACATTCTTTGGGTTCCAGCCTATTTTGACACGTCTGCTGGTTCCAAATCGCCAGCCCGCACTGCATGTGTAATCATTCTCCTCACACAACTTGAGAATAGAGCCCACTTTTTTTTCTCCAAATAAACAGAACCCTAGGCAGTACAGTAAACTAGGAGACGGAAGCCTTGCAGGTCTGTTTGTCAGAGTTAAAATTTCCAAGAAATGCAGCCCCAAATCAGTACTTTATATTTGAGCACCTTATCGTTTACCATGCAGACAAATTTTCTACCAAGGTGTCTGTCAGGAGCCAATGGTGTCAACAACATGCTACTGGCCTTAGCTGATAAACTAACACGGGAAAGTGAACTAGATGTTAGAGGTTCACCTTGGACTTTGGAACTAGTAGGACCAGCAGTTACTTCTCCCTCATGTGTAAGAAATTCTATTGGGTGAGGCATGGCCCAGGGCATGGGACAAAGGTCTTGGTTGCACTTTGTTGCTCAGCCAGAGATGCCACTTACTTCTCTGAAAAGTAAAACAAAAGTAAGCCCATGAGCTGGGAAGTCAATTTTCCCTCTTGGGACTGGGAATTGAACTCAGGACCTTGCACTTGCCAGGCAAGTGCTTATGCCACTGAGCTATCCTCCCGACCCACCCCCTAATATATTGATCAAGCCCAGAAGAAAGCAGCAACCATGTTTACCTAAGTCTGTTCCATAGTACCCTAATTCTAAAATAAATTCCATGGAAAGAGAAAGGTTTAAAGCACAAAAAAAAAAAGTTAGAGCAAATGTCCATTTTGTATCTGTGTATTCAAAGTGGTTAGGATAGATATATAGTTACATTCTCTTAATGAATAGAGTGATTTGTTCTAATGGTGTTTGTAGGTAGGACATCATGTCCACATCTTGTACAGCAATTAACCACTAGGAAGAATGTGTGCAATGTGTTAATTACTGAAGCTGTCCTACCAATTTGATTTGAAACTGTCTCATTGCTATTTGTTTCTCAATAAAATTATGGAAAAAATAAAAAATTGAGCTAACTTTCTCTTAATTCAATAAGAAAGATTTGTACTAATAGCGTTTGTACAAGATATCATGTCTGCATTTTGTACTATGAATAACCACTACAAAGCCAACAATATGCAATGTATTAATTATTGAAACTGTCCTACTAATCAGTTTTGAAACTGTCTCATTGCTATTTGTTTCTCAATAAAATACATAAATAAACCTCAAAAAACAAACAAACAAAAAAAAGTTAGAGCAAAAGTACACACCTACCTGTCCCCTGAAGAACCATCGGAAGTAAAGAAATACACTGAGAAGACACAGGCAACAGTTCTCAGACCCATGGACCACAGAGCCCTGAAGGCAGCACTTATGCTATGGAACTGCTGTCTTATAGAACACTGCGGGGTTGCTCAGAACTGCTGCCCGGGGCAGCCAGGCAGCCACTGAGCTGTTCTTGCTGTCCATTATTACTCTCTAGCACATAGGTTATGACAAAAACATGAGGCCTCGCAGTTTAATAAGAATGTGATTAGTCTGAAGAGATAGCTCAGCAGACTAAAGCTGCTTAGTCAAGCTTAGGCAAACACAGGGATTGTGGGTTCAATCCCCAGCACCACATGTGGCACTGGCCCCGCCCCCAGTGCATGCTGAGCCAGCCAGAGTCCAGGCATGGTGGCATATGCCTGTAATCCCAGTGTTGGGGAGGCTGAAAGCAGGAGGATCACTATGAGTCCAAGCTGCATAGTGAAACCCTGTAACAATCAAATACACTTTTTTAAAAAAGGTGATTAGTCTAAATATGATCAGTCTAAATATTCTTGTTTCTCACAGCAGAAAGGTCAGTTATAAATACAGGTTCGTGGACTTAGGGTAAGAGAACATGTATTGGTGTTGAAGCCCACTGGGACCCAAATGGTTCCCCTGTTAAAGATAAGCGAAATCAAACGCACTTACAGATGCTTGTACCAAGCTGGGGCCTCAGCAGGATTAAGGGTTATCTGGAAACCACAAGCAGATTTTACTCTTAGTTCACCCCAGACAGAGACACTCTGGGAGCTCTGGAGCTGGGCCAGCCATGGCCTGAGTCCCAGGTCTGCCTCTGGTAAGCCAGGGAATGTAGAGAAGAAAACTCACTGGGTCTGGTCATCATGGGTATAATAAAATACTAGACACCACCCTGAGGGATGGAGTTAAGACTTAATGAATTTCATGAGTCTGGCATAGGGTACTTGTTCAATAAAAGGACATTGTATCACACAACACAAATACAAAATAAATCCCCTTCAAACAAGAGGAACGGAATGATGTTGAGACAGTGCATGGAGCTTGAGGCCAGCCAGTAGTTTGCAGCCTGATTTGACTATGTGATCCTGAGCGTACTGAACCTCCATTCCAGCTCTGGTAAATCCAGGATGATAAGAGTAGGTATGGCTAGCTAAAGAGCACAGCCAGCCTGAATTTAGGGTTCCAGGCCAGACCCCATGGAGTCACTCACAGGAGAGCCCAAGTCAAGTTTATTGAGCCAGCTCTGAGTGGGTAGGGTTGGGGACCGTGAGATTGAGAAAGTGAGACAGCTTCGCAGCTGGCCATACAACAGCTCATATTCTGTTGCAGGTGTGCTGTGACACAGCAGGTGGAGCGGGAGCCCGTGTCCTTGCTAGCAGGTGCTGTTGCCTAGGCTCAGGTGGCTGGAATGGCTACTCCTGGAACTCAGGCAGCTGTGGAGCAGTCGTGCAGATGGGGGTCGGACCAGTCAGACCCTACACTATATAGTTGTTAGGTTTGAAATGAATAAATGCTAAGTGATCAGCTCAGTGCTTGAGAGTGAGTAAGCACCCAGTGCATTTGGCATTTGTTGCCATTTCACTTCATCTTACCACCTCGCCCGCAGAGGACGGAATTTCCTGCTTATGTCTACTGACATCTCCAGAATGTCCTACACATGACCCGAAGGCATGGCAGGATGACAGGCAGAACCTGAGCGCTGGTGGGAACGTTTAGAAGTCACCCATGTACTCTTCCTGGCCCTGCAGGCCGAGCACCAACCCTCCGCCCCCATGGAAAGCTAAACGCAAGCACACAGTTACCGGGACAATTTGAGTGTTACCTTCTTGTGCCACAGGGCAGCAGCTAGAGACAAGCAAGTAAACCTCACCCATTCCCATCAACTCCAACCCCTGAGGGAAAGACCCTCTGGCTGAGAGAAAAGAGCCTTCGCTCACAAAGGCAGGTTAGACAGAGGACCAAGGACCCAGCAGCCTGTCCACATCTGTCCGCTTGTGGCCATCGCCTCCTCACCTCATCTGGAATTAGACATATTCTGAACTCACAGGACTCTGATGCTCATTTAGAAGGACTGAAGGTGGTAAGCTTGAAAGGGTGGAAGACCCGGGGACCACAGAAGGATGTTGCTATGCTGTGGACCAATGACGCTGCCACAAAGGGCTCAGACGTTAGAGGTGGGGATCTTACGGGGTGATTAAATCATGGGGCACTAACTCCACCAATAGCATGGTCTACCGATGAGTTATATCCAAATGTGTTAAGGGGCGGAGCCTCGCTGGAAGACGCAGCTCACTGGAAGAGTGTATTCTGTCCCCAGCCTCTGTCTGTGTGTCTTGTGTCTCTGTGTCTGTTTCTGTCTCCTGGCTTGCCTGCTTCCAACCACCTGGAAAGAGCTCAACACCTTTCCAACACAGACAGGGCCAACCAAACAAGCATCGAATCTATGAGCCAAAGGAAGCCTCTCCGCCTTTATGTTACAAGGGGTCATGGGATTTTAAGCAAGCATCAGAATGCTGATTAGTGCAGATGTCATAGATGACTCTTGCCCCCAAAGCTCCTTGTATTCCTAAATGGACTGAGAGAGAATGAAAATCATTGCAAATTATAGTACATAGGGGAGCTGACAGAGAAAGCCAAGAGTCTCCGTAGGAAGGGCCACGTGCAGAAGGAGGGGACAGCATCGCAGATGACCACACCCCTCCCTCTCTTTATCCAAGGCAGAGAGGAGATGGCACTGCCAGCTCTGGGTATCTTTAGGCTGAGGTGCTGATGTGGGAAAGGCCCTGCCAACATGCATGGGTCAGACACTCTGCCAAGAGCTGACGACGCAGGTTGTATCAGAAGCAGGACACCAGCCTGGACAGTGTCACACCAAAGGGTGCCACCATCATCACATCCCCAGAATCACTTCTGGTGTTTTTCATAGATTTTTAGGTGCTTTAAATTGATTTGGGGGGGGGGTGATATAGCTCAGTGGCACAGTGCCTGCCTGGCAAACACAAGGTCCAGAGTTCAATTCCTGGTACAAAACAAAACAAAAAAAATCACACAAAACAAACTAAGCTTCAAATTGATTTTTGGGATGATATACCAGTAAGAAAAACTGAGAGGGAGTTTGTGGCTCTATGAATGTAACAGAAACATCTGCTGACATTGCCAGTCCTACGGATAATCCACTTCTATTATGGACTACTGGACTATATTGGATTATTTTGCTGAATACACATGCACCTACAATATTTAAATGGCAATGAAATACCCATCTCTGACAAAACTGAACAAAAAAAGGGGATACAAATGAAGGACCCTTTTGTATCTGTATATACAAAATAGTTAGCATAGATATACAGCTACTTTCTCTTTTCAATGAGAAGAAAGATTTGTACTAGTAGTGTTTGGACAGGATATCATGTCTGCATCTCATACTATGCATAACTACTACGAAGATATAATATGCAATGTATTAATTATTGAAGCTGCCCTAATCAGTTTTGAGACTGTCTCATTGCTATTTGTTTCTCAATAAAATTAATAAAATAATAGTAATAGAAACATCTGTGTGCTGGTTGAAAAAAACCCAGAATTCACTGGAACAAGTTGCCTCCCACGTAGCAGCTAAGCACTCCAAGTGAGCAAGGAAAGTGTTATGTAAGTACTTAACATCTGTGCTTGCGACCGCCGCTTAACCACCACCTGTAGTCAGCTTGCGCCCCAGGGACCCTGTCCCCAGCAAGGGGTTCACTCAGACTTTTGTTCTTCCCTCTCAGGAGAAGCTTTGATGGCCAGAAAGCACAGACTCCAGAAGCAAAGTTAAACCAGCTGCGAAAGCCGGCTAGAAGTAACTCCTTCCGAGCAGATGAGTACTTACTTATTAGAAATATCACGAAGAAAACCATCGCCAGGCTGACAATCAGCGCAATTAGCAGCCCCAGAAAAAACAGACTCTGGCTTCCGTTTCCTGAGTGAGTGCCAAGGCCTGGGGTTTTCTCCTCCAGAGCTAACAGGAGACAAAGGACAAGCAGAACGGCAGCGTTAACTTGCAGCAGAAATGGGCAGGACCGCGCCATTGGAGATGGGAGTCAGGCATACACGCATTTTCTCTTGGACAGCTTGGAAAGTGGCTTACGCATCAGGAATGGCTTTGGATGGGAATAAGTTTGGGAATTGTTTATCTTCTTCCATATTAGTACTCAGAGAATGAGCAGGGTTAAGCCACCTCCTCAGACCTCTTCAGAAAGCCTTTTGAAGACTGCTATTACTGAAGCAGCAAGACATGCTTTGGTCTTGGCGAAGGAATGAGAAGTGAAAAGAGTGACAGAATCTCTGTGGCTTTTTTCCTGATGAAACCCAGGGGAAAAAGACTGAGCAGGGTGAGGGCCACCTACCCTGGTGGGCATCGCCTAGTAATCTCTTCACTGACAAAATTCTCAAGTATGCCTACATCCATGAAACAAAAGAGCTCCTGCTATACTTTGGTCTTTCAAGGTTGCCTTCAGGATAGATATGCCCTGGAAGCAAGGTTCTTTGCAATGTTCTGCAGTAGCTTCACTCACCAAGCTTTGAATTATCTGCACCCGGTCACTGTTTTGTAATGCGTACAATCTAAGAATCGTCAGATTGTTGTGTTGTTACTGTTATACACTGTGCTTTGCACTGGCCACCCACACTGATTATGGACTGATGGGTGGCTTATGTCCATGCCTAAAAAGTGCATTCTGTGTCACCTCTCTCAACAGCTGCTTCTGAATCAAAGCAGTAGCATCAGCTTATACTTATTGAGTCTGATAGTAATAAAAACAGGTGAAAATCTGAACCTATTAAAATGACGAGAAGAATAATTCAGAAAGATCTTAAAGGAGAATGGCAGGAACAGCGAGTTTCAGCACACACAAAGAAAGTGGCAAGTAGACAACCTGTGTTTGATGCCAGGGCTTAAGCTAGAAAAGATAGGGCTCAGAAGAATCTGGCAGAACTTATGTATACTATTTAAGGAGCAGATACATATTTAGTACTCAACAGATCCATGTTACATGGTCCCCGCCACACACACACACAATTTTTCTAAACTTTGAATCTTGTAATTTGTAAATAGAAAATGAAAAGGGTTTTGTCCAACAGATTTTAATGTTTAAAAAGTGGTGAATGTGTTGAGCATTTTCTCATCAATCCACTATGAAACAAGGCCTGGGAGGAACATGGGCTCTTGGGGGGACCTAGCTGTGGTCCCAACGGGCACAGCCAAGAGGGCCGAGCCAGCCTCCAAGTCCAGCTCTCCAGGCTCCCTCCTTCCCAGGAACAGAAACCCTACGGGACTTTCTCAGAATTTCTGAAGACAGAAGTTCAAATCTTGTTTAGGAGGGGCTGGAGAGATGGCTCAGTGGTCTAAAGCACCTACTTAGAACAAGCTTGGCAAAGCATCAGGGACCGCGGTTCAATCCCCCAGCACCAC